TAGATAGACTTTTACAAAAGGGTGTGGAAAAGAATGAGCAATCTACCTGCCAATAACATTGAGGGCATGAAGTGGACCCGCGAAAAGCGATACATACATCTTGGAAACGGACCTATATTGAACTTCCAGGCAAGCAAGAAACCTTGCGAATTGGTCACGTGTAAGTAAATTCGTTTTGAGGAGTAAATGATCTGAACCCAGATGTAAGAGATGTAGGTGTTGCATCGTCTTCCGGTTGTGAGAAGTCTTGAGACACTTACCTGACGTTTCTCCTACGTGGAAATTATGTTCAGAGAGTGTGATCTTGACTCTTAAGATGGCTTCCACTAAACGTTCTAATAGGTAAATATAACAGTCTTTCTCAAGACTTCTCACACCCGGAAGATCATGCTACACCTACATCTTTTTTAATCCTTTTTGCTGTGAATATAATCAGCATTTTTTCTGAAATAATAGATTGAGTTATACTTATTCTATTTTGCTTCTTATCATCTCAACGTTTGCCAGTTTTGCATGAAAAAACTCTTACAAGTAAAAAAACCTTTCTAGACAAGGAGGCAAATTGCCTGTTGACTAATGATTGTTATTTAACTTTCAAAGGTATTTGCAGGCAATAATATTACTTATTTTATATTTCATTTCATATTATTATTTTTGAGGATTAAATGAGACATCCAAATTCTAAAAAGAAAAATGTTTCAATATCTTAGTACCTGGACTGACGACCCAACAAGAGTATGCCTTTGCTTTACGTAGTGGAGACCCAAACGTCAAAGAAATTTCYCTCGAAATACTTCGCCTTCATGACACASGATTTATTAAAAAGCTTCGSAATAAATACTGGGGCARCAGTAATGACTGTTCACCAGAAGTGTCCAAAATACAGTTTCCAGGTAGGTATCTCGATAGACCAAAAGCMTAAACAGACTGCTTGCTTCCTAGGGAGGGGTGGGGGACTCGGGGGTAAAAGTACCGTGGATGCTCGTCGGGTGACCTATCTTACGGGTAGAATTTCTTGCTGAATCTTTTAGGATGTCCATTTAACAATATTTGTTTTGTGCAATCTCTTAGGCATGTCTTAGGGGTTAAAAATCAGTCAGTCATGCCCTTTTTCTAAGACTTAGGGGTCTWTTTTAACGAGCARATAACCGGTACTTTTACCACGGAGGCCCTGCCCCCGGCTCCAAGATTCTCTCGTTGTTTACTCTCGAGCAACGACGAAATAGGTTAGACAATGGMCGGTAAGACACTTAGACAATTACATATGAAAGCAAAATATATCCTAAAAATACCTTTTTTGTAACTTCCACTATGAAAAAACCTCGAATTCGTTATTTTCYCTAGTGAAAATAACAACTTTACGAAATGGAGAATTATACAGGAATTTCATAGACAATTATACGATAAGCATTAACACTGACTTTCCGCCGAAAGCTAAAAACCAACCAACAATTTGGTACKAAGCAGATACTAGATGATATCATCAGCAATTCGATACTGTGATAATCCAAACAGTCATTCTAMAAAATTGCTAACAATTCGAAAAAGACTCTAACTTACAACTCCACCATTTTATAAACCAARTGCCCATTCAAACAAACTAACAAGCAACCAATACTGACAAGTTCAATCACGTGTTTCAGTGATAGGTCGAACTCGCGTGGAACTTACCAGCATGGCTGGCGTATTAATCGTTTTGGGGTCAGGATTCGTTCTTTCAATGATAACACTAATGGCTGAGATATACTACGATAGATACAGTCGACTTCAAAATAAACGCCTCTTTGATTTGCAGAGAAAGTCGTTTAGAAAGAGGTGAGTGTGCTAAGTAACGAACTACAGTTGAACATAAATATCTAAATGGATCAAAGAAATATTTACCTTTCCAAGGAATATAAACAACA